AAAAAAGGGTAGAGATTAGAGAACCATTGCCAGAACGCTTACAGACCTTGTTCATTACCAAACATAAAAGAGGGAGAATTCGGTTTTCGGGCAGGGGTGCGGTGATGGTGTAGAGCCAATAACTTTGGGAAATGAGTTCCACGTCTATAACTCAATTTGATTTGAGGAAGGGTGCCAGTTCTAGGCCTATTACATGAAGTAAAATGGGCAGAGTGACTAGGCCAACTGCACCAACATCCTACTCTGCAATGCATCCATGTATGACCAAAGGCAAAATTATGATCCACTCGTGTGTGAACCCCAACCCTCAAGCAATTTTTATTCAACTGTATTAGTTGCAGGAATTTTACTAGTTCTACTAGAATAATCAGAAACAAATTCACCATACTAGTGAAGAAATAGCTAAACCATGCAGAGTAATATACATTAATCTGCCATACTGTTATTGCATCAAAGAAAGTATTAAGAGAGCAAGATACCTTACAAGCACAAACTGAATATAAAAACATTCAACCCATCTAACCTCACATTGATTCCTAAAGCATAGACCCTGATTTAATCATATGGTACTGAAATGGACAATAATCATCCGCTTGAGGTCACCATATGAGAGTGCGAAGAATGTAAAACTTCTCAATGACCCAGCATTCTAGTGACCATATTTCTGGAACTCCCATTCGCTGTTGTCTGCATGGGTAAACAATCCCGAAAGAAATGAATGCCAGTCAGTGAGAAAGATGTTAACTGGAAAAGGCTTCAAAGTCTCCTTAGAAAATTGAAAAGTAAAACACGTACCCAGTGGACACACTTGACGAGTCTTGAGCCACCTGCTGATGCAGTGGAAGTGAAATGCATGGTTGCAAACTCCTACAGATACAAAAGGACAGTTCATAACAGAGACATGAATTGAATAGAAAAATTGAATGTGTTTCCTTCTTCAGTAAAGACAATAGGCACTATTTTCAGGAGATGTTCATAAAAGATCCAAGATCAATCAATAACACACCACTAAATATATTCATGCTACCAACTAAGTCCATTGTTTTAGGATCAACAATCCAAAAAGTACACACTGGTCCAAATAGAGTTGATAATTGCCAACTTTGAATTGACAGAAAGAAGAACAACCAATGACCAAACAGAGATGTAACTCACAAAAATCCTAAAAGACAATAATCATGAACAGTTCTACAGCATCATCCAAAATTCACTATCCTATCCTAGTTTAAGTAAGAGGTCAGATATAACAAGAAGTACAGGATTCTTAGCACGATCTACAAATTGATGTTAATATAAGCACCATAATTGGCCGTTAAAACCTAAATAACATAGACCATATGAAAATACATTATTTATAAGAGCCACTACTAGCTTAAAGTGTGCGAGAAAATATAACAGTATAGCATAATGGAAATAATGTAAAGATCATCCATTTGAAGTCAAACAGTAGCAGCAATAAATGACTAAACTAGAGTGTTCTAATGATCAGCCATCAAAATGGCCAGTGCCATTATTACCAACATTGACATGAATGTACATGGTAGATAAGATATGACTGATTCATCCCACAATGTTGAAATGCCAAATCCCTAAGCATATTAAATCAAAAGTGTAGAGAATTGCTTGTTGCCTAGGTTACCATTCACAAAACAGAAAAGACAAGATATTAACTTGATAAGTGATCCAAAATTCTCTTAACGTTTCTTTTAAGACATCTTCACTATCATCATCAGTTTTGTGCTAACGTTAAACAGAATACATGCTTGCTATCAGCCTTATAACATGAATATCAAGTAAGTCACCATCCTCCAAATAAACAACTTTACAACATAGAGACCAAAAAAGAAAAACATCTTTACAAGGTAAAACAATCTTGTTACCATAACAGCCACCAGAAAAGAAAGACAAAAATCTTTTAATTGCCTTAATGGGGTTTTAAATCATTGCAAAACTCACAAAGTTGCAATCAAAAAGCAACAGGTTCAAAATTTGTTCACCATATAATAGACCCCAGTTCTTATATTCCCAAGGACATCAAAGCAAAAGGAGAGCAGACCTAAGAAATGTGTACAATTGACGATTTCTAGAGGTAAAAGAGAAACATACCCCAAGCAACGGTGCATTCCTCGCTTGTGGCACTAGCCTGGTTGGCCTGGCACTCAATGCCTAACGATAATCAATAAAGCTAACAATCAGAAAAACCAACAACCACAGAATCACACGCTAAAAAAACAGATCAAAATTGAACAACGAAGAAAATCGAGAGAAACTCACAGAGATCCATGATATGATTCCTGCAAATTGCACAGTTATCGACAACTATGTCTGCATACATAAACAAAATTAGCTACTCTCCACTGATCAAAACCTAGCATGGAAGATAGACACATATATACACATGAAGAATCTAAGAAAACGGAAGAAGCTAGGGTTTAGGTTTACTTACCCCAGGCCCAGAGGGCGACAGCACTCCACTTTTTGATCTCAAACCGCTTGGGTTTCTTAGTCGAGGAGGAAGGAGCGGCGCTGCTGGAAGCCTCACCGACGGGAACCATCGGAACATCGGAGTCAAGAGTGGCCATGGTTTGGATCGGAACCTAGTCCGGTCTGCTCTAGACGACAAAAAGAGAGAGAAAACCAAAGTTCTCTGGAAAACTTTTTTTATATTTATATTAAAAAAAAAAAAGAAAAGAGAATAGTACTAGTAGAACTAGAATAATCTCCAAAAGGCCGCAAATGAGCAAGTAAGGATTTCCAGTGGATTGGGCCAACTATTGTTTGTTTTCTAAGGCCCAGCTTGTATCTTTTGTTTTCTGGGCTCAGCTTGTTACATTGGTTAGGCACTTCAGTTGGAGCTTTCGGTTTAACTCTGATTTCAGGCCTTTCCCTTTTGACCCATTCATTTTCATTTTCCATTTTCCACCGCTTAAATAATTTCATAATATTATAGTTATAATATAATAAAAAATTATAAATTTATAATTATAATATAATATTAAATAAATATATATAATATTATAGATAGATTTTTGAATAAAAAGAGCATATTATTTAATAATATATCATATTGTAAACTTATAATATCATGTAATATTATAAATATAATATTTTTTAAATAATTTTTGGTATATATATATTTATCTTGGTTATACAATAAGAGGCAATTATCTTTCATTTCTTATCCTATCTCACCCGCATAATATGCGACTCGAACTAAGGTCCTTTATTTCCAGCGAAAATAGGTGATTACTGAATTATTTAGGTCATTGATAATTTTTGGTATATTTAATGGAGTTATATACTCCCTTTTTTCATTTTTAGTAATTTTAAATATTTTTTTTACTCAAATAAAAATAATTGATAAAAATTTTATATAAAATTTTTTAAATTATTCTTCATATAAATTATTAAATTTTTATATAAAATTTATATTTAAAAATTAAAAAATAAAACTAAAATTACTAAAAATAAACAAATGAAGTATCAAAAAATACCTTAAAACTTTTTAGGGGAAGTATAGATGATTTGTTTTAAAAAATGAATTAGTTTTAAAATAAACACAAACTAATTTGAGGATAACCCTTTGCCGCTAAAACAACAAATAATAATAAGTAAAAATTGCAGTGTCACCTCTAAATTGTTTGATTAAAATTAACAAAATCCTGTGTTACAATTGTATTATAGCGAATGGTAACATGAAGACATTTAATCAGGGAAGGGAAAGGCCAATATCAAGAATTTTCTCTTTTTAATTATTGTGATGTTACAGTCCACTATAAGATGAACGATAATGTAATTTTTTATAAAGTTATTTACTCTGAAAAAAAAATAAAATTCACACATTTTGTTACTTCAAGTGGTGGAACTAAAAGATTTGGGCTTAAATTTAATTGCTGACGTCAACATCATTACTAGTCCATTTAAAATCTTATGACATCACATGGGCTGCTCGCTACAATTTAATAGAGCGATAATGACCACTAATGATAACGATTAAATTTGAATCAAAATTTTTAAATAAATAATTTGAGGTGATAAGGAAATAATTTATATGATTTAATACTAATTTTTTATTAAAAATAAATAATTTTAAATTTAAATTATATAATATATAAATAAAATAAATAAAAAAATAAA